TCTTGCAGGTGGGGGGATGTCAGAGGAAGATTTCAGCAAAATATTTATTAGTTTTCCAGGTGTTCCCTTCCAGGGTCGTGGTATCTATTGATTGGTCAGCACCCGAGCAGGGTCATTGACCATTGCAGCTGGTCTTGGTGTCACCCACCTGGTTTTGCTGCTTTTCTGGACCTGGAGCTGAAATACCACGGAGGCCTAGATGTTATCTCTGGGGAGGTGACCTATATCTGGCTGTAAATTGCTTGGCCGGTTTATTCAGATATTTATTTCAGTTCCCCCATTCTATTTGCTAAGGAATTTTCCTAACTTCTTACTATCCTGCCTTATAATCATTCATTCCTTTGGATGTAAGGCAATATAGCAAAGGGCTAAGCATTTTGTCTTTACAGTTAGAATTCAGCTCTCTCTGCCCTTACAAGTTTTCTGCCCTTACAAGTGTGACCTTGGGCAAGCTGTTTAACCTTTCTGTTTCTCCAGCACCTACTGTATAAAACAAAGACAATAATAAGGCCCACTTAATGCAGTTGTTTTGCAAGCTAAATGAGCATGTAAATGTTCGGCTCAGTGTCTTACTTACCATGAAGTGCTCAATGAAGATTAAAACAATTTTTTTTTTTAATTTGAGGGAGTGAGAGAAACATGGATGTGAGAGAGAAACATTGATCAGTTGCCTCTCTGAGGCACCTAACCAGGGATTGAATCTGCCACCTCGGGTATGCCCAGACCAGGAATGGAACCTGTGACCTTTTGGTGCACAGGACACTGCCCAACCAACTGAGCCACCCTGGCCAGGACCCTCTTGACATGTTTTTAAAGAAAGTTACAAATACATGGCTTTAACCATGTGATCTAGGGCAATTCCTACTTCTGTGGGCCTCAGTTTCCTCAGCTGTAAAGTGAATAAGGTACTTTGCAAACAAAAGAAATGTGTTTCTTTTGCTGCTCTTATGAGATGACATTTTAAAATTGTGATATAGCCGAAACCGGTTTGGCTCAGTGGTAGAGCGTCGATCTGCGGACTGAAAGGTCCCAGGTTCGATTCCGGTCAAGGGCATGTACGTTGGTTGCGGGCACATCCCCGGTAGGGGGTGTGCAAGAGGCAGCTGGTCAATGTTTCTTTCTCATTGACGTTTCTAGCTCTCTATCTCTCTCCCTTCCTCTCTGTAAAAAATCAATAAAATATATTTTAAAAAATAAAAATAAAAAATAAAATTGTGATATAACATGTATTTAGTAAAGTATACAAGATATATAAAGGGCAGTGATCTTAAGTATAAAGACAGATAAATTTGTATGTACCTATGTGAACACCACTGGAAAGTGATATAGAACCTGTCCAGCACCTCACAAGGGCCATTCTGCCTGGGCTATCCCACCCTCCGAGGTGACCACTAATCTGATTCCTATCGCCATAGGTTTGTCTGGCCTGGTTTTGACTTTTGAATTAATGGAATTGTACAGGCTTTTGTGTCTGATTTCTTTCACTCAGTGTATCTGTGAGTCATTCAAGACATTGCATGCAATGGCCGTTCTTTTCACATACTTTAAAATTAGCTAATACCTGTCAGTCACAGTTTGAAAAGTTTGTGTATTTGCTCAAGAGACCAGGAAAATAAAACCCAGGGCTCTGCAGTATGGAGCCAGTTCATCCTGTGAATCTCTGCTAAGGCAGCTGGGTTCTCAGCCAGAGATGGCAGTCACCTTACCCAAATGCCACCACTTCCAAGCCCACACTCTAGGCAGACATCACAAATCTATCTCAGCACTTTATTACAAGGAGTCCTGATGCAGCCTCAAAATTTTTCTCAACCCAGCAATCCAAGTGATTCACACCAATTGATTTGGGTTGATAATTAAGGTAAAATGAGAGTTGCCTGGCTTGCATGGCTCAGGGGTTGAGCACTGACCTATGAACCAGGAGGTCACAGGTTCCATTCCCAGTCAGGGCACATGCCTGGAGTGTGGGGCATGCAGGAGTCAGCCAATGATGATTCTCTGTCATCATGGGTGTTCTGTCTCTTCCTTTCACTTCCTCCGTGACAAAAACACACACATCCACAAACAAAACAACAACAACAAACAAACAAACAAAAACCCATAAAATGAGTGTTCTGCTATCATATCCCCAAGATGTTTTTTTGGGTTCCCAAAGATATGACAAGGGGCTCCACTGTCATCCTCAGTTTACAACTCCCTCCCCACCCAGCAATACAAGACTGATGGTGATAAGGCCTACAAGATTTGCCTATTTTAAAAAAATATATGTTTTTATTGATTTTTTGAGAGAAAAATTAGAGAGAGAGAAAGAGAGAGAGAGAAAGAGAGAGAGAGAGAGAGAGAGAGAGAGAGAGAGAGAGAGAGAGAGAGAGAGATACACATTACACATGCCCTCTACTGGGGATTGAGCCCCAACTCTGACCAGGAATCGAACTGGCAACCTTTTGGTGCATGGGACAATGCTCAACTAACTGAACCACACCAGCCAGGGCAGGATCTTCCTATTCATATATTCTTTGGTTCATGGTTCAAGCCCAGGAAGTGTTTTTTACCTGTATGCCTGATTGCAGCATGACGTAGGTAAGAGGGGAGGAGGCCCTGGCCAGGTGGCTCAGTTGGTAGCATCCTCCCGTTGCTTATTCAATTCCCAGTCAGGGCACATATCTAGGTTGCAGGTTCAATCCCTGGTCCCTGTGTGTATGCAAGGCAATCCATGTTACTTTCTCATATTGATGTTTCTCTTCCCCCACCCCCAACCCCAACCCCTTCCTCTCTCTCCAAGCATATCCTCCAGTGAGGATTAAAAAAAAAAAAAAAAAAAAAGAGGGAAGGGGACAGATTACTTAGATATGGAAGGGTGATTATATCCATAAAGTGGCTTGATTGAAGTCTCTGTTTTTATTTTGATAAAAACATTGCAATGTCTTAATTACAAAACAAACACAATTTATGCTTCTGTAAATTCTTGATAGTTCTAGCTTGTCTCCATGAAAAATGTCGTCCATCTGGGAAATTTGGGTGAAATAAATTCTCCCATTCTCTGAGAATGGGTACTTATATATGCAAGCTGGGATTATGGCAGGTTAAATAAGAACAATATCTGTTTTTATTCATATTTGATCAGAGTCTGAGGAGTGAGAGGAGACAAGACTCAGGTGAAATCATAGAGAAAAAGTTCAGTTAAGCTGTCATCTATAATAATAAAAGCGTAATATGGTAATTAGACTGGACAGCTGAATGACCTTCCAGATGTCCAGACATCCTTCCTGATAAAGCTGGGACCCAGGGGAAGCCAGCCAGAGTCCCAGGTACCTGTGGGTGGCTGAAGGAGGGATGTCTGGGTCCCAGTGCCAGAGGGAAGCTGATCCTAGAAGCAAGGAAGGGCTATTACTCTTGCACAAAGAATTATTGTGCATCAGGCCTCTAGTTTATTTGAAACTCTGTTCCCAATCAACTTCACATATTTGAAAGGTCTAGGAAGAATAAAAAAGGCTTTGAGAAGTCATGTTTTTTTTCATTGGCAATTGGAAGCTGCAAATTAGAATGGTGGGCTTGGGGAAGTATTGACCTCACTGCAAATGAGTGGGGAAGTGATTCTTGACAGCAAAAGAGAAGGGAAAACAATGAAATGTGGCCCCACATCTAGCTGGGCCTGTGAAATGCAAGGGGAGGAAATACTAATACTTCTGCTACTTTTGAAAGTTCTGTGTCACCAAGACTGGTTTGGCTCAGTGGATAGAGTGTTGGCCTGTGGACTGAAAGGTCCCAGGTTCGATTCTGGTCAAGGGCATGTACCTTGGTTGCAGGCACATCCCCAGGTGAGGGTGTTCAGGAGGCAGCTGGTCTATGTTTCCAGCTCTCTATCTCTCTCCCTTCCTCTCTGTAAAAACTCAATAAAATATATATTAAAAAAAGAGAAAAAATGGAAGTTCTGTGTCGCTTACTGGTTTAATTATTGTGCATAATAATGACCCAGAATATGTAGGAATGAAGACACATTTTTATTTTAAAAGCTTTTTTTAAATTGATTTTTTGTTTTTAGAGAGAGAGAAGTGGGCAAAAGAGAGATAGAAACATCCTTTGGGTGCCTCTTGTTGCCCATTACTGGGGATCCAACCAGTGACCTTTTGGTGCATGGGAGGACTCTCAACCAACTGAGCAACACCGGTTAATCATGAATACACATTTTGAGCCCTACTATGCTAGGCCTATGTTAAGTAAGCACTTTCCATTCCCTAGCTTACATAAGCTTTAAGGTGGTCCTTTTATCTTCTCCGATTTACAGTTTCCATAAGAGAGAGGTACACAGAGAAGAGGACGCAACTTGCCCAAAAAAGTATTTCAAAGAACCTTATTAAGTGAATAAAAAATAGAAAGGCATTCCATTAGAGGGAGCAGCAAATGCAAAGACAAGACTATTAAGTTAAATTAGTTAATCACTCAATTTCTCAGTCTTGGTTACTCACCTATGAAATCAGAACAGCATTATTTGCCATAGGCTTGTGAGAATTAAATGTGATAATATACATAAAGTACATTTCACGATGCCTGGATCACAGAATGTGCATAATGTTAATTACAGTGTATGTTTTTTAAAAAGTTATTTTCTCTTTCTGTTCTTCCTCTGCAGAGTGGATTCCCAGGGACACTACATTTCCCAGCATTCCCCCTCGCCCTTTAACCCTAGACAGACCAAACAACTCGCGTCGCCCAGCACCTCAAGCCGGAAGACTATAGCTTCCCGGCATGCCGTACGCCTCTCTCCATTATAGCTGAGGCACAGTCAGCGCGTTGCCCGCCGGGAGTTGTAGTAGGCGGCGTGTTGCCCTGACGCCAGCGGAGCCGGGCGTGGGGGCCTATGGGAGGTGGCACGGCCGGGCTCAGCTGCGGGGCGGAGGCGGCGGCGAGGCCTGCGGCGGCGGGGAGCGGCTGGGCCGGGAGCGGGCGCCGGAGCCGAGCCGAGCCGGAGCGGACGGCGCAGGCCGGCGCGGCGAGCAGCAACCATGTCGGTATTTGGGAAGCTGTTCGGGGCGGGAGGGGGTAAGGCTGGCAAGGGCGGCCCGACCCCCCAGGAGGCCATCCAGAGGCTGCGGGACACGGAAGAGATGCTAAGTAAAAAGCAAGAATTTCTGGAGAAGAAGATCGAGCAGGAGCTGACGGCCGCCAAGAAGCACGGCACCAAAAACAAGCGCGGTGAGTCGGCCCGGCTCCCTTAGACTCCCCTCGGCTTCCGGGGCCCGGACTCCACCTTCGTCAGACGCGCACCAGGATCTGCTCGGATCCGGGGATCTCTCCCCCCCGTCAGACTCCTCTCAGCGTCTCCCCGAGCCCTGGACTTCTCCTCCATCAGACTCTCCCTCCGAGCCCTCTCCCCTCAGGCTTTCCCACTCTGCCAGGCCCCTTCAGACCCTGCTTTCACAACACTTGACTCCTCTCTCACTGTCTTCGCTTCCCTTCCGCCTTTTCCTTCTCCCTCTGGCCTGCCCTCACCCCCCTTCCCAGGTACTGCCTTTCCCCTAACACTTGTCCTTTCCTGCTCCTTCCCCTGCCCCTCTGTGGAGTCCATGAGCTGCCCTTGGCTCTTTCCACCCTCTGACTCAGAATTATCCTTGAGAAGCCTCCTTGACGGAGACGCAAGGCGGCTGGGGCAGAGGAGACCCCTGGTTCCGGCTCTGTTCGCTTGCTGAGTGAACTTGAGCAAGTTACTTTTCTCTTGTCTCATTTTGCCCCATCCGCCAGCCAAGCTTTTGCCCCCGTGAGGCCGAAAGTGCTTTCCAGCTCTGGGATTTGCTTCTTGGTGCTTCAGAGCCAGGTCTTACCAGAGTTTCACAGAGGCCAGGCCAAGCCAAGCCCTCGCCCCGTGACTCACTGCTTCCCCATCCTTCTAGACCAGAAATAAAGATTCCATTCCTCCATTGGCCAGGACTCCTCCCCAGTCCCCACTGCCGTGTTTAAGGCAGGGATATTTAATCTTTCTTGTTATGGGAATATGAGAGTGAACCATACCTAGCCTGAGACCCTTCCCCTAAGAGGGGGCAGAGGGGAGAGGGGTTGAAAAGCTCTATAGATAAGTTACTTAACTTGAACTTTGGTGGTCCCTAGCCCACTGACCTTGAACTAGTTAATTTATCTTCCTGAAAGGAAGATTATGGATTTACAGTGCCCAGCACATAGTAAGGGCTAAGTAGATATTTTCTTTATTTTAACCTAAGAACAAAATAGCCCATTCTGAGGGTGTTCCTTTGTTAATAGTCTACAATTCTTTTGGAATGTTGTGTGCTTTCATAGGGTGAACAAAACACAGCTCCTACTCTAATGAGGGAGAAGACAGAGCAGGAAAATCAATCAAGAAAATATTGTCTAGTTGTGATGGGTAGGGGGAAAAAATAACTGATGGGGAGTGATAGGGTGGAAATCGGTGTCACTTTAGATAGAGTGGTCAGGGGAGTCCCCTTTGAAAAGGTAAATTTGTTCTTGAGAAGGAACCAGCTCTGGGAAAATCCAGGGGAGGGGCCTTTGGAGAGCGGCATAGGAAAGGCCTGTTTTAGGAAACAGGGACCTCTGTTTCTAGAATGCAGTAATTGAAGGGAGAGTGGTGTGAAATAGGGGGTGGGGAGTAGATCCTGAACTTCCTGGTAAAGAGTTTGGAAAGAGTTTATTTCAAGTGGATGGAAAGCTGTTGGAGGGTGTTATGCCGTCCTAATTGTCATAATTATTGATAATGGTTTTAAAAACACCAGCTGGGTTGCTCTTTGGAAAACAGACTGGTTGAGGGAGTGAGGGTGGGAACAGGGAGACCAGTGAGAAGGCGGTTGCAGTCAGTCATCTGTTTGTGGCCGGGGCTCCAGTTGTGGCTCAGGAGATGGAGGGCAGGGTCAGATTTTGCTGTCTCTAGCTTTTTTGGGAGGATGACTCTCAGTCAGGAAGGTCCTCTGTTCATGGTAATTAGAGTCTTTGTTTTTACTGGTCTGCATTTGGGAATGCTTTGCTCATTTCAGGGTGGTAGAGAAGGGTATCATATCAGTTTACACCCTCTCCCATCAAAGGGCAATTTTCCAGTGGTCTTTTGGTCTCAGGCTAGTTTAGCTTCTGCAGTTTTAGAGGTGATTGAATGGGTTTGAAAGAGGCTTGGAGCGAGGCTTCTAGCAGACTATGGAGTAACAATCTGAGTTGTAATAATTTTGCTGAAAGCAGTCTATCTTGGGTTTTCCTGAGAGGACAGAAGCTACTGCCCTTCTTTATAGTGTCCTCTGGAGGAAAGGTCCTGTCTGCTTATTGGGATAGTGCTGAGAGGTGTAAACGCCACCACATACCACTCCTTTACTCACTTATTGACTTGATACTATGCTGGGACCTAGAGAAAAAGATGAAAATACATTGTGCCTGCCCTACAGGGAGTCAGGATTGGAAGTGTGTAGTTTGTTTGAGTTTGTGTGAGATGTATGAGTGTGGGGTGTGTGTGTGTGTGTGTGTGTGTGTGTGTGTGAGAGAGAGAGAGAGAGAGAGAGAAAGAGAGAGAGAGAGAGAGAGAGAGAGAGAGAGAGAGAGAAGGAAAGAAACATACCTGTCAGTGCTGAAACATGAGTCTGTATGTATTTGGGGCCAAGGCTAAAGAGGAGAAGGTTCCTGTCAGGGGGCAAACGGCAAAAAAGGCTTTGCAGGTGGATCAGCAAATAACTTGGGGAGCTGTGAGTGTGGCCGGACAACAAACAGGAACACAGGAGTGGTCTGTAGCCTTCAGACTTTAACCTGAAGATGGTGAGGAGCCACTGGCTGTCTTAGACCTGAAGATACAGATCAGCTTGGATTTTTGAAAGAACACTCCAGCAGCATCATAAGGAAAGAGTGTAGACCAACCAGGAAAGACTGGAGGCAGGAATCCAGTAACAGATAAGGGTACAATCTCAATATGGTAGCTTTGTCACTAGCTGTGTGTACCTTGGGTAGGTTGCTCTGTACCTCTATAAATAAGGGTAATAGTATTTACCTTATTAAATTAAATACGTTATGCATGGAAAGCTCTTAATTCAGAGCCTGCCATATGTTAAGTGATCAATAACTGCTTGCCATTATCATTATTACAAGACTTGTAATTGAGGTAGGAACAAAGTGCCTAGTGTAGAAGCATGGAAAACTAGACGAGAAGTGATAATGACAAGACTTTTCTGAAGGACAATCAGGAGAGGCTTGGTGATGGATTAGAACTGTGCGCAGGATGAAGGAGAGAGAGTTGAGGACAATTCCCAAGTGTAGAGCTTGGACAGTGGCTAGAGGTGGATGCCATTAACCAAGTTGGGAAACACAGGGGAGGAGCAGTGCTTCCTAGTGTAGTTCTTTGAAGTTTGTAAAAGTCCTTTTTCTCATATGAGTCTACAGCATCCACTGGGACTGTGAGTTCCATGAGGGACCATGTTCATCACATCTAGCACAGTGTCTGGCATGTGATTAGTGCGTAGTATTTATTAAATGAATTAAAACAATCTTGTGAGTGTGTTCTCTTGTTCCCATTGATTAGAGAGGAAAATGAGGCTGGAGACAGGAAGTAATGACTCAGAGACTAGTTCTTCTGGTGGCTGTGGGCATCTTGTGTTTTATTTACTCCCATGATGGCTGAAGGTGTCATCATGACCTTTGTCATTGCTTAGATCATTCTATGCCCTCCTGTGCAAGGTGTGGTGCTGAGTGGGAGGAAAAAGGTTCAGGAGGCTCAGGCCCTGCCCTGTGGAGTGTATAGCCAAAGGTGGATGGTATCTTTGTGGCATACATATTAGAAAGATGATAAATTGTCCTTTGAAACAAACCTCTGAAACTCAAGTAGATTATGTACAGTGTGCAGGTGTGTTCCAGGCAGTGGTTTCAGTTAAGGCTTAGAGCAAAATTTAGGTTGAATATTTTTTCCAAATTTCTTTTCCCTTCCCTTAGTCATGCATTCATTCTTAAGTATGTGGTAGGCTCTTAAACCTGTGTCCTAGGCCATATACTCAGTGTTGGGAGCTAAGTACTAGGAATGATGATCCCTGCCATCCAGGAGACTTAAGTATCATCACTTTCCTTTTCTACAAAGTGGAAATTATATACATCTCACATGACTATCTGGTGAGGATTAGCTAAGATAATGTATGAAAGAGTGTAGCTCATTGTAGATATTGAGTAAGTATACTTTTCTTTCCTTTTTGTTAATCAGTCTTCTTTGGTTTGATTATCAAAATGGAAAAGTTCTTTCACTGAGAACTAGATGGAAACCAGGATTGCAGTCTAAGTGAAATGACAAAATCACTGAAACTTAGGTCTCTTTTGGAACCTTTCTAAACAATGTTCTATTGGTTTTCTTCCTAAGAAGAATGATCAGATATCTGAGATTCTTTTCTTTTTAAGCACTGTAACTAGTTATGAAATATTTACCCTGGGTGGTTCAGATTTCCCTTTTGTCCTGTTTTAATAAAGATGAAAACAGTTTGTATAAAGGAGCACAATTTAGCTTAACAAGAGAATTGTATGAGATTGGGAAATGGAGACTGGGTGTCTCAAAAACACTACAATGGTACATTTCTTTTGGATTTATGGATGCAAATCAGTTCATTTACAGATAATTTAGGTTCAGTTGAAAATGTCTGATCGATGCAGAGAGGCCAGGAGCTCACAGAAATATGTCTTCATTAAATCTGCTTATTGCTGGAGTCAGGTGGTTCTCTCATGTTTAGTAACGTTGCTGTAAAACATTAATATGTGGAAAGATATCTTAAGTTAAATTTATAGTGAATGTGGCTTTTGGTTCTCTGGAATCAAGGTATCAGGTGAAAATCAAAGCATTTTTTTTTTTTTTTTTACTTCAATAGTCAAACATTTTATTGAGCTCAAAAACTCTCCAATAAATTATTAAAAATTTTTAATTGATTAAGGTATTACATATATGTGCTGCTATGAACATAGGGGTGCATATATCCTTTCGATTGGGATATATTCCAAGAAATGGGATCACTGGGTCAAATGGGAGTTTCATTTTTAGTTTTTTGAGGAAACTCTATACTGTTCTCCTCAATGGCTGCACCAGTCTGCATTTCCACCAGCAGTGCACAAGGGTTCCTTTTTCTCCACAACCTCGCCAACACTTGTTGTTGTTGACTTGTTGATGATAGCCATTCTGACAGGTGGAAAATCACAGCATCTTAATGGTTAATATGCCAATAGGATCT